GTTGGGGAAGACAGAATACAATTTCAAGAAGAAATAAATGAATGATCAGAGCAAAGGCTACGAAAGTCAGGAGACCCAAAGATAAACGAGCAGTTGTGGGACTCCAGGACTCAGAAGAGCATTCTCTCAAGACAAGTCTGTTCTGTGGGGCCTGCTCTGATAAACAGCTGGAAGGGAGACATGAAGCAGAACAGCTCACGTGCCTCTAATTAGAGGGAAAGACTGAGGGCTTTTCAAGTCTAATCAAGGTTGGGAGTGGATGGATCCCAAGGCTTGATCACTGAGGTAGTTCTAAAATCAGATGCCCAAGCCAAGAAATTGGGGTCAGAGAAATATTCGTGTTAATAAACTGGGGAGAGTACAGAGACCATACTTTATTCTCCACTGTTTCCTGGTGGTCTCATAACTCCCAAGCTTGGCACCTATTTCCTGTCAGAGCAAAGAGGTGTGCGTTCGGAGAGGTCCTCATACCAAATGGATATGTAACAGGGTGATTTCTGTGTGGACATTCAGAAAGACATGTTGCTCGTGTTACTTGAATGAAGAATGGCAACAGGTTGTTGTAATTCCAGGAGGCAGCAGGAAGAGAATCAGACCAACTGCCCCTTTCTCTGTACTGACTCTGAAGAATATGCAAGCTTTAGCCACATGGTGGCATAGTGCGTCTGCCTACAGCCTTTCCTAGTAGGGTGATGTGGGGAGCAGAAAGAAAACAAGACCTGAGAAATGGAGACTTCAGGCAAACCATCCCTGGCTTGCTCTGGTCATCGATGAGAAAGGTGGAAGGAAGCGATGAGAGCAACAGGTCTTATTTGACACAGAGAAGCCCATAATCAGGCAAACTCATCTAGATTTTCCCACTTTTAGGTTTGTTTTTCTCATTTTTCTAGGCCTGTGACTTTTTTCCAACCCGAATTTTAAGGAAGACTGGTCAAAGGACCGGAAGGAACAATCTAACCTCAGTCAGGGCAATACCACTTAAAATAGGTAGCCATGTTTCTTTAGAGATATTTCTGTATTTCTGTTTAGAGAACAAGGATTGTATTTAGAGTAACTATCAGTGGTAATGATTCTTGTCTTACAATGAGGAAATATCAAAGATTTTTTTAAAACCTCACAAGATCCAAAGGAATAACTCTTGAGTGATATCATTTTAGTCACTGTTTGGTCCAGGCTAAGGTAAAAATCCATCTAGACACCTAAGATCTCACTTGTTGAGTAGGGTCACCCATTTCTATATTTATCTATATTTAAGGGCACCCTATATATAATGCCTAAAATTGTTCTAAGACTTTGAAGAATTCTATGACAATAATTCCATAACTACACTCTTTGGAAATAATAAAAACTGCCCTGAAGTATTTCAAGACCAAGTCTGAGAATCATATTAAAGAATATAATTTAATCTCCAATTAATTCTGAGTTCACATTTTATGAATACATTTCTTGTTTTCTTCTGCTCTGAAATCTTTGACTCACTAGACATGATGACCTCTTTAACATGACAGCAGGATGTTCACTCAGTTTGGCATGACGTGCACTTTCTTATTGCCTGTAACACAGTAAATGCTCAATAAATGTGTACTCAAGTAAACTGCACTTTATTCAATGTAAGATGGTTTAGGAGGCTGGGCTCGGTAACTCAGCCTATAATTCTAGCACTTTGGGAGGCCGAGGCTACTGGAATGCCTGAGCCAGTGGGTTCGAGACCAGCCTGGGCAACTTGGTGAGATCTCATCTCTACAATAAAAATAAAAAATTAGCTGGGCATGGTAGCGTGTACCTGTAGTTCCAGCTACTTGGACGGCTGAGGTGAGGAGCCCGGCAAGTCGACACTGGGGTGGCCGTGAGTGTGCCACTGCACTCTAGCCTGGGTGACAGAGTGAGACTCCAACTCAAAATAAAAATATTGTCTAGCAAAGTCAAAAATGGTATTCTAGGCCAGGTGTGGTGGCTCACACCTATAATCCCAGTACTTTGGGAGGTTGAGGTGAGAGGATTGCCTGAGCCCACAGGTTCGAGACTAGCCTGGACAACTTCGTGAGACCTCATCTATACAATAAATAAAAAATTAGCTGGGCATGGTAGCACATGCCTGTAGTTCCAGCTACTTAGAAGGCTGAGGTGGAAGGATCACCTGAGCCCAGCAGGTTGAGACTATGGTGGCCGTGAACAGCGTGCCACTGCACTCCAGCCTGGGTGACAGAGTGAGATGCCAACTCAAAAAAAAGTCTTCTATTCCAAGGCACACACCAGTCCACAAAGCTCAGTGTGTTCCAAAGAAATCTAATTTCTATGGTCAAGAATAAAAGCTGTAGCTGTTCATTCTTTTTGTCTAGATTACATGACCTTGAATCTGGAACTCTTGGGAAAGACAGCAAAATTCTAAGATACTAATATAGATTATTTAGTCACCTAGAAACTAGCTACACTTATGGGAGTGTTGGCATGGGGAGAACATTTTCATTAGACCAAGTGATTTTAGATTACTACTCACATAACTACAAAACCAAAGCAATTTTAAACCAAAAACTTACAGCTTAGTTTCTGGGTTTTTTGTTTGTTTGTTTGTTTTTAAAGACAGAACTTCAAGAATTATGAAAGGTATAGACAGTATTAGGAGTAAGGAAACACAAATCCTTCCTTCCTTCCTTTTTTGAGTCAGGGGTCTCATTTTGTCGCCCAGGCTGGAGTGCAGTGGCATAATCATAGCTCACTGCAACCTTGACCTCCTGGGCTCAGATGATTCTTTCACATTAGCCTCCCTAGTAGCTGGGACTACAGGCCTAGTGAACACCACCATGTCCAGCTAATTTTTTTATTTTTAGTAGAGACAAGGTCTCACTATGTTGCTCAGGCTGGTCTTGAACTTCTCAGCTCAAGCAATCCTCCCACCTTTGCCGCCCAAAGTACTGGCATGAGCCACCATGCCCAGTCCATTTCTGACTAGAAGACTAAAAATTATTCTTGTCTAATCCTAGAACCTACAGGATCTTTCAGATACAGAATGTTGAATGTAATTCCGTTTCTTAGGGTTCCTTTCTTGCGGTGTCAGTGTGATACAGCAAGTGTGCAAAACGAATCTTCATAGCATTTACGAAGAAAAATGATACACAGGCCCTTAGCTAGCCCTCCAAACCACTAAAACAGGTAGAATAAAGAGTGAATAACACAAAAGGGAATTTAGTTTATAAACTTCTATGTCTGTGACTTGGAAATAGACATAAGAAGATAAAGCCAGTCCTGTTATTTTATGACTGTAGAACTTTTTCTTTCAGAATATCTTTTCAGATTCCTCTAGAAAACAAAGAAAATGGCTAGAATATTAAAACAAATTTGTGCTTGTAGTTAGCTGTAAAAGGAATAACTAGAATACTAGCAATGAATGTCCATTTGTAGCATGTCGAAGAGGATTTTTGTCTCTCTCCACTCCTAAACATACACTAGGTAGAAAAAGTCAGGAATACTCCAAAATACCCCCACCAACAATTTTGTTTAAAAGCACAAGTAGTTCAGAACCAAAGGGTCACATTTGCCCTCACTCGCAGCGCTGTTCACGGTTGAGTTAGCTCTTCTTAGACTTGACTTTCTGACAGCAAATAAAGGAGGAAAGCTCTGCTGCTTCGCTTTCTCTCTTTTGGCAGTTTTCCATTAGAATAAAAAGACTTAGCGGTATTTGACATTCTGAAACAGTGTAAAATTACAAATTCCATAGTCACAACTAATATGTTTAAAAGTCCTTCAAAACGGAATTATGAACATATCTTTATATAGGTCTAAAGTTATCTTGTAGATGTAGATTGGAACTGTACTCTAGCCTGATGACTGAGACTCTGACTCAAAAAAAAAAAGTTGAGGAACTTTCAGAATTAAGAAGTCATTAAAGTCTTACAGCCAAATAGCTTTAAGGTCTATTTTATAATACTAGTTTCACAACTTGATTTTAATATTCTCTGTTTTTTGTTTTAATTTTTAGGTAAAACTAAGTGTTCTTGCTTACTACAAAATAATACAGGAGAAACATAGTCTCCCAACTACAGTGGCAATGGTAACCTTATTTTTTTTGACTTGCTTTTAAAAAATAAACTCACTCATGCCTGTAATCCCAGCACCTTGAGAAACCAAGACAGGAAAATCGCTCGAGCCCAGGTGTTCGAGACCAACCTGGGCAACATAGTGAGACCCCATCTCTAGAAGACAATGAAAAAAAAAAAATAGAAAAAAATAAACTCCATTATTCTAAATGCTTTAATAAGTTAGATCTTAGAAATAATTTTAATATACTTGAATATACTCTGGCAATAATGCTGATCACTAGGAGGTTGATGCACAGCTGATTACATTTATCTTTGGATTTAAGTATGTATTGAAGTTGTCAGTTCAGCATCACTTCAAACTGTCCAGTCAATTCTGATTCTGCGCAAACCCAGCAGCACAATTATTTCATCATTGGAAAGGAACTTAAAAAAAAAAAAGAATAGGGAAGCTTTTTTAAAGTCATAATAAAGATGCCCAAATAGATAATTCATTTCTTAAAGTCCAAAAGAAAAAATAGGAACTTGTCTCATTTGAAAGAGGTCCATTTGATTCCCGGACACAGTTTCCAGCAATGGCTTGGCTCCTCACTGAGAAGTCACTCGGCTGCACTGGACAGATTTCTGATGGGGTCACTCATTCTCCCATCACACGTAACGATGCTAACTGGCATAAGAAGGCACACTGCCAAAAGTAGTAGTATTTTTTCAATATGTGGTTAAATAGGAAAGCACTAAATAGAATTCATTCTTTCAATATAACTACTTAATGAAATCCATCCTTGCATTATAAGAAAATAGTGCATTTGGGGAGAAAACATTTAATCCTGAAAAAGTCAGCCCAGTGAAGATGACATGACAGCCTTTCCTTTTGGTGACTGTATACAGCTGACTGGAAACCTAGAAGATATTTCAGACTAAATACATCGGGGATTTTGTTGTTGTTTTGTTACTATTTCCACTCACCAGCTCGAAGGGGTCGTGGAACTCCCCCAACAAAGATAGTTTTTCTGGGGTCCAAAGGCTGAGAACCATCCATTACAAAGTCACTGTCACTTAGGTTCCATGGTCGAATTTGCACCTGAAAAAAAGTCGTTTACTTGGTCCTTACTTCATTTCCATCAACCCCAAATGAGAATAAGATGACTAAAGATAAACCCACTGATTTGTGCATTTTACAATGTACATGACCCAAACAAAAGCCAGTTTATTAGTTAATGTAATCTGCATTAAGTGCCTTTCAATAGAACTCTCGGGAAGCTGCTTGCAAGTGCTATACTCAACACATTCTAAACATGTACCAGGAAAGCTTCAGAAACCATTTCACTTGTGGCTTTTTTTAAAAAGTAGTCTTTTAGAGACAGAGTCTGCATTTTGAATCAGATTCATTTTAACATATGATAGACTGTTTACAACTTGTCACAGTACACCCCTTAGCTTTTTTAAGACTTCATCTAAAGGAAGGGAACAAGAACATTAGAAATATTTTCTAAAAATTTTCTATATGTCTGGCTATTAAAATATCATCACCTCCCCACCAAAGTTAAAACATTTGTCTTTCAGCAATATGATTTAACACAGCTTCATACTCAGCAAGTTAGTACAGAATTACCAGAGATAACAAACAGTTGAAGCACAGAGAATGATCTCCTTTTGATTTATTTGATTTTCCTAAAAGAGGCTGGTTAAATAAAGACAAGCCTGGAAATCGAAGTCCATTTTTAAAGAGCAGAAAAGAAACCTTTATGGCGTATTTCTATTTGGTAATTTATCTTCACTGGGACTCTGACTTGGTGCCCATAGTTTGTACGACTTTATCATAGGGTAAAAAATAAGGTATTTCATTAGAATCTTAACCTTAGAACATATTCCCTTTATTCATAATTGAATTATCAAAAAAGAGCTTAAAACCAAACCAAACCACAGAAAACCTTCCCACACCAAACATGAGTGTTGCATGGTGCCTAAAACCAGCAGTCACATATGCTCGGGGCAGGAGGCTGGGTACAGAAGGGCAACCTGGTAGCTGTCTTCAGACACAAGCATCTCTCCCTCTCCTTCACAGATTAAGGTAGGAAATAAGACAGCTGACCTGTCATTTCCTGTATCAACAGAATTCTTCATTTTCCCCATTGCTCAAACATCAACAGCTAATATAAGCAAGCACATGAGATCATTTCTTATGCAACTTGTCTTATACCCAGGAGTACTTCCACTCGAAAGCTAGCACCTCTGCCAATTATACTTTCACTTTGAATCCCCTCTAAAACTGCTATTGCTCATTTAGAAGCAGTCTACACATCTCTTAAGACTGCTATAAAATTCACCCTCCCTGACATTTTGCTTTTTGTGACACCGTTGCCTTCACCAGTTCATCAGAAGCCACAAAATCTCCATTTCTTCCCTGGACCCTGAAAACACGGACCTGTTTACAGTTCTGTTAACATTCAAGCATTTGTTCCATCATTGCATGGGGGAAAAAATCCAGTTCTTTCCTTGTCAAAGTTAGTCTGTTTAACTAAAATATCGTTTCCCTAACATTTACCACAAAGACAGATTCACTAATACCAAAAGCACCACTTTTAAACACCTTCGTGAAAGTCTGTTACTGATTTTTAATTTAATACACAATAATTTCCTGACACCATAAGCACAGGTATTCTGATGTCATACACACGGGACACCTTTTTCTACATAGATCTCTCTCTTCTTCTGATCTCATTCCTAATAAAGCCGTTGAGGCAGCTTCAAGATCTGCTAAGGTAATTCCAATCACTTTATGTTAATTGAGTTTGGTCACAGATCACCTTATTTCAAAAATAGAAACAATTCCTGGGTAGTATCCAGTGGTCTGCCTTCATTTAACCAGAAATATAGGAAATAGTCTTCTAGGATAGCTGTAGGTTAATACTGCTCAAAAAAAGACCCAAACCTTCCTGCTGAGAGATTTCATTATTGCCTCCCCCCACAACCTCACTTCATCTCATCACACACAGCCCATTCCTTCACTCTATTCTTGGCATTACAGATTAGGTAAAAATACAGGAAGAGACTCAGGGCACCGTGCCGATTAACCCTATTCACAAAACCCACACTTTCCAGCTGCCACCAGAAAACAGCTGTCAGTGCTGGCAGACTTAGAGAAATGTCAACATAGGCCAACATCGGCTCACGCTACACACTAAGCAAAAAATAATATTGTAGTACTGTCTGTACTGACAAGTTCCACCCACTCTCTGGTTTCGTTCTGAAATATAAGCCCACTCTCACACAAGGCCTATTTCTCCACCTTTTTAGAACTCAGTGCCTGACATCCAAGTTCTATCCAGGTTCTGAACTTACTCTTTGGATATATTTCTGGTCCTGAATTTTTACATATACATTTCTCAGCTTTATTATAATATCATAATTTCTGGAAAGGGATGAAATATAAATAAAAGACCTGCTTTCTAATTATCTTCTTGTTTCTTTATTATTTTTCTGAGTGAATGAAATTAGTACTCTGTCCTATTCGATATAAATTTCCTCTGTCAAAACTTATATATTTACATATAGCCAGTCCTCTGTATCTGAGGGTTCCGCATTCATGAAGTCAACCAATCTAGGATAGAGAATACTATCTAGTAAACACATCATAAAAATTAACTGGGCTGGGTGCGGTGGTTCACACCTGTAATCCCAGCCCTTTGGGAGACCGAGGTGAGAGGATAACCTAAGCCCAGAGGTTTGAGACCAGCCTAGGCAACTCGGCAAGACCTCGTATCTACACTAAATCAAAAAAACTAGGCTGGGCGTGGTGGCTCACGCCTATAATTCCAGCACTTTGGGAGGCCGAGGTGAGAGGATTGCCTGAGCCTACAAGTTCGAGACCAGCCCTGGCAACTTGGTGAGACCTCATCTCTACAATAAATAAAATAATCAACTGGGCATGGTGGCGCATGCCTGTAGTTCCAGCTACTTGGAAGGGTAAGGTGGAAAGATTGCCTGAGCCCAGCAGGTCGAGGCTGCGGTGGCCGGGAGTGTGCCACTTCCTTCCAATCTGGGTGACAGAGTGAGACTCCAACTCAAAAATGAAAAAAAAAGAAAAAAAAAAAAAATTAGCCAGGCATGGTGGTGCATGCCTGTGGTTCCAGCTACTTGGAAGACTGAGGCAGAAGGATCTTCTGAACCCCACAGGTTGAGGCTGCAGTGGCCGTGCACATGCCACTGTACTCCAAACCTGGGTGACAGAGTGAGACTCCTACTCAAAAAAAAAAAAAAAAAATTAACTGGGAGGCTGAGGTAGGAGGATTGCTTGAGCCCAGGAGTTTGAGATCAGTCTGAACAACAAAGTTTTGTCTCTATGAAAAAAAAAAAATTTAGCTAGGCTGAGGCAAAAAGATTGCCTGAGCCCAGGAGGTCGAGGCTGCAGTGAGCTGTGATCATGCCACTGCACACCAGCCTGAGCAACAGAGTGAGATCCTGACTCTAAAAAAAAAAAAAAAAAAAAAAATTAACAATACAGCAATAAAAATAATGTTAAACTTAAAACTATAGTATGACAAAAAAACTATAGTATGATAACTCCTTACAAAGTATTTACGTTGTATTAGGCATTATAAGTAATCTAGAGACAATTTAAAATATATGAGAGGATGCATGTAGGTTATCTGCAAATACTAAGCCATTTTTTATAAAGGACTTGAGTGCCTGCAGATTTTGGTATCCAAGGGGACCAATCCCCAATGATACCTAGGGACAACTGTATAGGGGTGTAGGGGTGTAGGGGTGTGTGTGTGTGTGTGTGTAAAACAACTCTTCCAGTATGTTGTCAAACAGGCGATACCCTGGATAATGAAGACAAGTATAGGGATGTCACTCAGAAATAGTGAAGATTCCCTTAAATGATCTAGACATGACACTAGCATTCCTTCCTGGGACAACCTGACCACATTTGCTTGTACTGGTAACTCTAAAAAGAGGCATTGCAGTACCATTTGGGAGGCGCCACACTTTGGCCATGCCATATCCTTACAGCAGGGGTCACACAAACTCAAATGTCCACTAGACAGGTAGCATAAAAGCAGCAAGCCACCAGGACAATCGCTAGTAGGCAGGCAGTCACACCCTGGGAAAACCACTTCTTTTTTTTGAGTCAGAGTCTCACTTTGTCACCCAGGCTGGAGTGCAGTGGCATGCTCATGGCTACCACAGTCTCGACCTGCTGGGCTCAGGCAATCCTTCCACCTCAGCCCGCCAAGTAGCTGGAACTACAGGTATGCGCCACCACACCTGGCTAATTTTTCTTGATTTACTGTAGAGATGAGGTCTCGCCAAGTTGCCCAGGCTGGTCTTGAACCCCTGGGCTCAGGCAATCCTCTCGCCTCAGCCTCCCAAAGTGCTGGGATTACAGGCGTGAGCCCCTGCACCTGGCAAAAGCCACTTCTTCTAAAGAAAGCAAGTATTTCTCAGCTCCAGCAAGTGGCTACCATTTGCAAATGTGCTGTCCGATTTTTTCCATTTTTCAAGGGTGATTAGAAATTCAGATTTGTATGTGAAAGTTCAAGATTCTAAAATGTTGGGAACTATTCAAATGTTAAAAATCACTGTACAGGCTAAACACACTATCTGCAGACCAGATCTAGCCCAGGGGTTCCAGCCTATGATCTGTGGCTTGATGGCGCTAATTGCCACACAGCTCACAATGGAATGAGAGAAAATAAAAATGGCTTTTCTTTCATTTCTATTTAAAGCATGTATTCCTATAGAAGCTCTCATGAGGACTATGAAACCTACTTTTGGCTGAATTATTTGTCTTTTAAATTCCTATCTTCTGAATCAGTAATCTGCTTTGTAAATGCTTATCTTCAAAGGCAAAATCTTTTGGAAATAAAGGCAAAAACCAAACATACAGCTTACCAGTATAAATATGCTAATTTATGCCACATAGTGACTTTAACATCAGCCTTCAAGAAATCTAAAAGATTGTGACATTAATAATATCAACAGTTAATAATAAAAGCACAACTTTTCCTTTTTAAGGTTTCCCAAAGCGTGTTCCATAGAATGTGGGTTCTGAGGGTTGGTCTTCCAGATAAGCAG